GGATAATGACTAATTGGAGGGTCATCTGCTTTTGCTACCGTCCCAGTGATCGCAGAGATCAAGGTTCACTACAATGTGAATCGCGGTCCACATTGAGATTGTTCATCGCAATCCAATCACACAACGCGTAATCCAAAATGGCCCTCCAATTAGTCACTAACCGTTGTGCCAAGCGTTGCCCGTCGTGACCCGGTAGCCAAAGGAATAGAGGTTCCGGCTACTATTCCAATAGTTGAAGGTTGGAGATCTGATATCTCTGCCTGAGGAGATTAAATGACATCGAAACGCGTCATGGTTGTGCAGTGTTTTCGGACGGGCAACACCCAATTTCCAAATACGGGTTTTCTTGCTTTCGTTCGTAGGAGGGCCACCATGGTTTTCTTTTTCCTTCGACCGCCCTTTCCACGGAATATCTGGTAGTATGCGTACTCCGCTCGATGAGTTAAGATGAACTGTCAAAAGTAAGACTATCTCTGTCTAATCAGTTGAGGGTTACTCGAAGAAAACGGAGTTCGCCGTAATGCCCTGATTTTGGGTGACGAGCTACGCGTCGTAGCGAAGTTGGCTCAATCCGAATACCGAACACATCGCAGACGGAATTCCACTGGTTGAGACCATCTACCAACTTGACCTTTATTGCGCCAGATCTCGACTTAGGAACATTAATGCACACGGCCGTTAATGCACTGTGGTTCTTTTTAGCGAATGTTGATTTGAACGTTGTGGCTGGCGGGCACTAAAGAATGTTGTGAAAACGGCGTCGCATCGCTCGTGCTTAGTCCGGAAAATGGACGTACTGGTGTCTCTGGGCGTTTTATCGAGGTGATCGATGCGTATGTTACCCGGCTATGGACTGCCGCTGTTGTGACCAACACATGAAATATGGCACCTGGGGATGAGTTAATAGCAGTCAATCCGGATGTGGCTTGCCTACTTAAAGGGTTAGTAATTGTCGAAGTAAATGGCGCAGATGCCGCTGGGCAGTTAGTAAGATTGACTTCAGCCTTCGACTTAGGGACAGAGCTCTGAGGGATTTGTTGTAGAACAAGATCAGTGTTGTTAGATTCCGGTGGCAAGGCTCTGAAGTTCACCATCTGCTGGACTGTTTCAGTCAGTTTTCCACACCTTTCACCAGCGATGTTATGAAACTGACTATTAGGATTGCTCTGCATGGTGGTGAAACCAGAGCGCAGCAGTCAGGTTGATTTGTATCTTATGTTGTGGTTGACATAAACCGGAAACGGAAGACCGCAACATGCACAAAGAATGTCTTTTCCGACTAGGCGTGCACAATTCTGCCCACCACATTGGCGGTTAGATGGAATCAATTCCATTGAGGGCCGTTGTAGCAAACGAACGCTGCCCTTGTCTGGTCACGTGAGGTATAGGGTGAGTGACGCTCGCGTTCTTTGATGCAGTCTCACTCTCGACGTCAGTTAACGTTGCTGAGTGTGTCACTATGAGGACACACGTACACGGAGTTTGGCTAGCTTATTGATCCACAGTGGTTCTTATAAGACAAAGCCGTTGGAATTGGCTAGTAGCGGGTGGATGGTAGCGACAAATGCCGGCGATGGGCGAATGCAATTGAAACCAGAGATTAGGTCGCAGCTTCGTTAGAAATGATCCCATGGATAGAGCGGAGAATCCTTGATCGATCAGTGTCGCAGCAGTGAAAACTGTTAAAAACAGGGTGGCGCGTCTGGATAAAAGCACGAAGCGATATAAAGCAACTTGGGTAGCAAAAATCACTCTCCGTTTGAAATAATAAGATTATGCTCACTGAACACGGAGACTTAACCCTATTCGAATGAGTGTATGATGGCTACGCTAGATGAAGAGGAAGACGTGAAACTCTGTGACAGAGGAGAGCATGTTCCCTATGCGACCAGTTAGGGCAGCTATCAAGCTGCAGCTAGACACGCTTATCACAACAAGCAATGATTGATAAGAGAGGTTATTTTGCACGGGATCATCACTCTAATCTACAAATGTAGTTGCCGTGCAGAACCAGTAAATTATCGTCCGATAACAATTCTTCCGGTGATCTCCAAGCTCACGGAGTAAATTAAAGGTGAGGCGCTTATGGGTACCTGGAGAGTAACGAAATTCTCATTCCGAAGCAGCATAGATTTTGCCAAAATCGGTCCCGTACTTCGGACCGGTTGATCGCATTCTACTATACAAACTCCAGAATTATGGAATCAGTGATCGCGTCCTGGGCTGGATAGGCAACGTTCAACGTCACCTGAATACGAGGGTTCGTAGCACGCTATCGGAACCAATCGAAGTTCAGTGCGGCGCACTTTAGAGCTCGGTAATCGAGCCCCGCCTGTTTCTGGTCTTCATAAATGAGCTTGCGAGGGTGCTATCTTTAAACTACCTGGAATTTGCAGATGCTCAAGATATGGCGTTATTTCACTGCAGTGATGTATCCACAGCCATACAGGATGACCTAAATAAAGCGTACACATGGCCCATCGAAAAGATGCTGCAGTTGAACGTCACCAGGTGCAAAGTTCTTAGCATACACCAGCAGAGTACTCACAACTACCGGCAAAATCACAAATCCTACAGCGGGCTTCTCATCAGTGCGACCTCGGTGTGCTCGTGCAAGGTGATCTTGGCTGTTTGAGGAAAACGGAAAAGGCATCAAAAATCGAACCAGCACTTCGGCCTTTTCCGTAGAGCGTTCCGGAAGTTTGACGCCTTTCTTTCCGAAAACACTTGGCGCGTACGTGAGGCCGCACGTGGAATACGCAATTTAAGCGTGGCTGCCTGGTAGAAGCACCACCACACGCGCTCAATATTGCATAACGCAGAGTGACAAAGAATGCCAAAGATTTAAACACCTTTCCTTACCAACTAGCTGGAAACTCGAAGTGTGCAGAGAACTGCATCGGCGCCTACGGGGCGATATCATGATGGTCTATAAGATCCTGAAATGCGCCGACCACAAATGTCACCATGTTTTGAAATGGTGTGGATGTCATTTTAAACTGGCCAGGCAATACAGTCGACAAAAATGTCAAGGAAACTTTTTTCCTTCCTAGTGCCACAGTTCTGTAACACTTTTGCAGCGCACGTAAGTAATGCACCGAACTTTTGATCATCATACACGTTAGCTGCAGGTGGAAAACACCTCAGCCATGGTGCCGCAATACCAAAGAAAAGTCTTGCAACATATGCATCCCGGCTGAGTCACCGGTGGAGGATGGACATTGTCCCGGAGCTAACAGCCGGCTTTTGTGCCGCAAAAATTATATTATGCCTACTAGATGAAAACGTGATTGGCGAGCGAGGCTAACCGGAGGGACAAAAAAACCAGCAAAAAAGACCTTGAGGTCGGCTCCTAGCTATGTCAACAAGTGTATCCCGCCAAACGTGTTCATCGACCTTCGGTCCCCAACCGCCCAGATGCAGCTCATCAGTAGACAGTTTCCCAACTAGTACTACAGTGTCCGAGCTTCTCTGTGGCAAAGGAGCTCGTTCAGTTGGCAATAGAAGCTGTCTTTTACCGAGTCATTGCTATATTTTGTGGAAGCGTAGGCAGCGATGATGAACAGACACTTATTAGCCCACGCGACTTCAAAGCTAAGGACGAGGCAGACAGTTAAACCGCACATATCCGGCTACTGATTGAGCTACAATCAACTAGAGCAGCTTCAGCCCCGGACCCAGGGCAATATCAACGCCGGATTGACCGGTAGTCGAAGCTACATCATCTCTGAATAGGCGCAATGAGAAAGTACCGCTGGTGTCACCTGAAGGGGATCGCAAAGTGAGCACAGAGCACGGGTTTTGAAGGCGGGTTTCCGATACGCAACAGTTATCGATCAACTGGGTCTCTAAGATCCAGGCAAGCGATGCCTGTTGACCGATCCGTAACAGTGTGCGTACGTTGAGGCATGCCAATCTGAGAGAGGATCGGGGGCTCCATATGGAACTCGAGGAACTGGGATTGACCGATCGATTAGACACGGGCTTATCGATAGGGCAAGAGTGACGCTCCACGTCTGCACGTGAGTTGAAACTAGAAAATAAACGCTTTTCAAAGCATGATGGGGGAGGGAAGAGAATTGGGGGCTGAGACCGGGGGTTAAAAGTGATGTTCGAACCGGACGATAAGGGTCAAAAAGTGTAACAGAAGGAATAAGAAAACTGGGAGGCTTGAGCAATAGCATCCAAACCCTATCCACCCTGCTCGATGCAGCAGATAGAGCGCCGTTGACCAGCCTTTGAGGCGGCCAGAGCATCAAGAAATTGTTTGAAGCAGGACTTAGGCAAGAGAACGATTAGAGTTCCAACCAAAGCCATTAGTTCAAAACTCTGACCGTAAAGCACCGGATTTGACAGTCGATTAAAAGGAGTCCGTTTTAAGGAATAAGGAGCCATCCTCACTCCAACCCCCAACCTGGAGGATTAGCAGACTGAGTTTGTCGGGCCTCTAAGCATTGACCAATCTGGTATGAGTGGCTCCGAAGGTGAAAAAAGCACAACTCAGAATAGCTCAGTAGATCGCTGAGGCACACAAACCATCTAACGATGGTAAGGTCTGGACTCATTGCGATGGTCCCAACCTTATCACTGTTCAAAAACGAGTTGAAGACAAGCTAGCACATTTACACTACGTGGTATAGTGCATGACGATTAAACGATGACATTAGTGCACAACAAACGGTGGAAGGTGGCATAACCCACCTAAACTCCAGATAGGAACAGTCGCACATGTATTATTTCAGACCCCTTGGTGAGTCGTGTAGCACATGCTTACTTTTACTGACACTTTCGTGTAATTCTCACCCTAACCATCCTGCAGGACATATCAAGCTTCCGATTTCGTGCCCGTAACAAACCAATATGGGTTTTGTTGCCGCTGTTTTCATTTCTATTCTTTTTTGCTATCGTCTAAATGAACTGCACTGTAGCTGAGCCAAAACGTAAAATAATGAAGACAGTGAATTATTTAAATATATTGGTTCGATGATGAACTAGGGCAGAGATCCGAAGCAGAATAGAAGAGGAATCAAAACGATGGGTTTACCACATAAATCTTTGAAGAACTCCAGGTTGGTTCGGCCAATAAAATGGTTTGTTAACGAACAAACATACCACTGAAACATGTAAAGCTAGGTTCAATATCAACTCAAAAAGCAGAGGAGCAAAGTGATCCTGCTTAGTAAAAGTGAACGACCGCCACAAAGAATACGGTATGAGAAAGTAACGGAGTTCTAACAACCCTGCAGGAATCAGGCACATGCAAGTACCCAAGCAAACGGAGACCTGGATTGCAAACATATGGAAAGGAACCACATGGGAGAACAATTTACTAGACCAATAGTATAAACATATCGAATAAAGTAGAGAAAGCGAGTAGAATACTGGAACGGACCGACGGATGATCTTTCGCCAAATATAAAAAGTGAGGTGACGATTATCGGCTAGTAAATAAGGATGGGAGTAAGAAAGGTATCTTAAAGATAGTGCTATACATACCGTGAGAAAAAGGAACAACAGAACACAAAGAAAGAATTTCACCGGGGACTTAGCTGACATCATCCTATAACGCATAGTCTTTTGGGCAGTGTATGTTAAGAAGCTTAAAGGAGTGAACGCCGAACAAAACAAAACGAAATACCACAACTGAGGCACATGGAATACGGCTTGGTGAAAAGCTTTGTCTCCAAGGACCACACCCTGGTTCCAGTACACGAAGCAAACAAAAATCAGCCCAACGAGAAAGTGCCAGAAGATGTCAAATGTGCTCCTAACAATAACAGTAACCAACAATTTGATGGGATGCTTTACGAATAAGGTCACTGATGTCAAGATCCAGGTCCCCACATCTGCACGTGCGTTAGGTTTGAAAACGATCCCAGATATACGTCGAGAGGTCAGGATACTGACGACAAGCGGTAACCAGCTGACGTTAGTTTGTCGTATGGAGATGCCAACAGCGCAAAACAACGCACTCAAAAATCGGTGTTTTGATAGGGCCGAGAGGATTGATAGCAACACAAACAAAAATGCGCAATGGTCCGTGTAGTACAGTGAGGAGAAAAATAACAGAACCGGGTTGGTAATGATTACCAAAGGAAGTAAAGGACTGTCACAATGGCCAAAAAGGCAAAGAATAGCAGACAAAACGCAAAAATTCAGACCACATAGGAAAGTATTAAAAAAACGAAAGCACAACATAGTAGGTGACGAGGGTAGAGGAAGAACAAAACTAATGAACCTGTAGAGTGAAATAAAGGTAATATATGTTCCCGGTGGCGTTGTAATTTTATCGTCCCATGATGTCCAGTTGCCTACCAAATAGGCCTTCGTTTGCCGAACATGAAACACTTCATCCATGTAGGGGACAGGCTGCACCCTAGTGATAACGAGTGTGGATAAACTGGATATCGCGGTGACAAACAAACAGCAGATCAAGTGTCGACAACCTAACCTGCGAAACTTCGGGCATAACATCATTCCGTAGGCATCCGTCATATCCATTGTAGTGAACGCAGCGGTCTGAAACAATTCGTGAAAAGAATGTGTGTCATCAAAAAATTAGCGTAATATCGGTCATTAGAATTGCGGATGTAAACGAATATAGTGAGCTGTTTGGAACAAAAGTTGTATCGAGCAACATCGTAGTGCAACCATGAAAGTCAGAGACTCAAGGCATACAGGTGCACATAGAATAAGTAAACAATAAAAAACACCGTCTGCAGTGGTTTCCCATTCTTCATTGTGTGATTTTCGGTGCGATAGATTGTCCATGGACACTATGGCTCAGCCTGAATCTCTGCGTCTCGATTTCTCACTTGCGGATTGTGACGCATACACCACGAGGTGACCACACCATATCGCGCTCCGAGATTGTTCACATTTGCTACGTGACAACTTGTCGCACGCCGCTGGATTTACACTTTTTCATCTACATTTGACGGGCTTTATCAACTGAAAGTATTTTCTCTTCAAGAATTCTAACAGAGTTTGCTTCTAACGGATTTACAAATTTGGGCAATTTTTCGCCTTTAATCGTGAAATTTCGCGAACTTAGAATAATCCACTCAAGATTTCTGCCTCTTTCGATAGAGTCTAGTAGCTTTCGAGCAAGCCTTCACTTGTCTAAATTCATCACCGTGTGTTACAGCTACACAGCTAATTACATTGCCTCTGTGAAACCCTCTCATTAAAGCAATCGCAAACTTTTTCCGCTCCAGATTTCAGTCGATGTGATCAACCGAACCGCGTACCACTAGAGTGGTCAAAGGTCAGAGGCCAGACCAGTTCAGTCTCTTCACTTTCAGCTTGGGGGATAGAGGGACGGTCCTCATTCTATACAACGAACTCTGTAGAACTGTGCCAAAACCCCGCTCCATAGAGGTCAGGTTTCTGAACCAAGGGTCTTAGTTGAGAAACCTAATCGTTCCACTGTCTGGGTCTGAACAACCTGGCCCTATCCCGCCAATGGAATACAATGAAGTTTCCTTCTGACGAGTTCTAAACGGTCTGACTGTCGCAGAGAATAATAAACGGCACTCAATCTGTTGCGTCGAGCAGGGTGGAAAGGGGCTTGGATGATACTGCTCAAAAATTTGGCAACTTTTTAGCTCTCCTCTTGCCTACTTTTATTTTCATGGACCCTTTCGAACATCAAATTTTATCCATACACTCCGTGGTCCCCACCCATCTTGCTTCAAAAGTCGTGTGCATTCCAGTTTCAACCCACACATAATCGCATGGCGTCTCTTCAGTTCCGACGACAAGTCTAAGTCCACTTAAGCGGATAACCTCAGTTCATCCGTTACTCATTGGAGCTCCCGATCTTTCCTAAGGCTGGCATACCTCTAAGTGCGCACGTCGTTACAGAGTAGCCAACAAGCAGCACTTAACTAAACACTAGAGACCAAATCGATCGATATCTGCTGTTTACCAGAATCCCACCCGCAAGAATTCGGTGATTACTCTGCGATCCCCCACAAGCAACAGTGATGGTATTTTTTCATCGCATTTATATGAAGATGACACAGCTTCAAATGCCGGTCAAACCGGTGTGGGCATTACCCTGAGCTCCTGGGCTGAAACTGCCATAGGCAATTAGGTCCCAACGAACTGACGGATGTGCGTCGTCAGATTGGTTGGCTCGTTCACAGCTTCGAAGTCGAGCGGGGACAAAAAGTGCGTGTCATTGCGGCCTACACGTCAAAATGTAACGCTGACTTAATGGAAGAGTAACTCCAGCACGTGGTTTTTAGTTACAGAAAAAGAACGGATACCGTGGCGCTGGTTGATGATTTAAACGCCCAAACTGGAAGTGTCTACTGGTGAGCTTCATCTAGGCGACCAACACGGTGTAGCCTCCCGTAACGACAACAGTGAGCGGGTGCTACACCTGTGTGAAGATGCTTGCTTATTTCGTGCGAGCACTAACTTCCGACACAGCACCCTCAGAAGAGTAATATGGCGCGCATCCACCTCAAACGAGCGATGGACACAAATCGATCACAGCGCGATCAGAAGCTGTGTGCAAAACTGTCAGTCGATTTAGACTACGAGCGTGAATTCTGACCACGCACCGTTTATGCCGATCTTACAGTTCGCTTCGGTAGGTGCATTCGGCGAAGCCAGATGTTCTGAATGAGTATCAAAGTACGCTAGCATCCGGGTTGAGTAACCGCTATTTGAACACAACAGAAGGTAACTTGTCGCGTATCGGCCAGACGTTACTAGCAGCTGACATGTTTCCACGTGGCAAAACAAATCACCAACCTAGACATTAGGTCTCCACGTAATCTCCTGCATGCTCAACGAAGTGTTCCAGCTGGAAATGAATACAATGAGACTCGCAAAGATCTCAGGGCGAAACTGCGTGCTAAACTGTAGAGATAGAATTCCGATGGTTTCACCGTGCGCCAGAGAAGGAAATGACTGGTGTACTTGATAACCACTGGAAGTTATTCTGTCTGATACGAAAAACGGCCGAAGGGGACCTGATGTTAGCGAGACGGATCATCATCATTCATCATTATACACATCAGCTAGAGGTGAGAAAAGACCTCCGCTATTGTGCCGCAATACGTGAAGGAAATACATACATACATATAATACAATACAAAAGGAAGATAGATAAAACAGTTGTATGCCAGCTGAGCTACCCGCAACGGATAGGCATCGTTCCGGTAAGCTTCCAGCCAGCTACTAGGCAAAAAAAATTTAAAATTATGTTTTACCCTAGGAAATGAGATCGTAGATGGAGGGGGAGGCTAAAAGGGATGGAGAGGGACAAAGAAACTCATAGCACAAACGCCACTGAGGTCGGCTCCTTGCCACGTCAGCAAGTGTATCCAGCCAAACGTGTTCACCGTCTTTTGGACCCCAACCAGGGAGCCGTGACGCTTCAACCGAGGCTAGCTCGGAAATGAGGGATTTCATTCCTCTGGACCAAGTCATCGCTTGGCTACCTCACCTCTTCTTCCACCCACATCCCCGGTGAGCAAACAACGCACATCGACGGAGTCGGTGGGCTGGCATGCGCAACACGTGGCCCAGCCATCGGAGCCTGGGGCGGGAAATAACGTTGCTGAGCGGTTCAGATCCTTTTCCTGGACCATAAACAATGCGTCGAACACGCTCGTTAGTCATGCGGTGTTCCCACCAGATGTGAGCCAAACTGCGAAGGCACCGATGGTCGAACGTAACTAGCCTCTTCAGGTCCGCCGACTTTAGGGACCAGGTTTCGCAACCGTACAGTAAGGTCGAACGTACAGCTGCATTGTAAACCCTACCCTTCAGGGCGAGAGTAATGTCGCGCCGCCACCATAGGTGGCGAAGGTAGGCAAAAGCACTTCAAGCTTTCGCTATACGGTTCGTGATCTCGTCTTCGATCCCAAGGGCGCTGGTACATCTTCCCAGGTAGTTGAATTTCCGAACGACTTCTAGCTGATCCCCACCAAGGGTCAGCGCAGGAGGCGATCCCTGTCAATCTTGGATGAACGCTTTGCATTTCGATGGTGCAAAGCAAAGCCCGAAGCAGCTGACAGCCAGTGCTAATCTGTCCAGCGCGGCTTGGCACGTCTGGGAGCTGTCACAGATGAGAGCAATGTCGTCTGCATGCTCCAAGTCAAGAAGTCGTTCTCCTGGGAGCAGCTCCACACATTCCAAGTCATGTCCTGTAAATGCAATCTCCATGACTTCGTCAATAGCGAAGTTAAAGAGGAAAGGTGACAGCGGGCATCCTTGTCTCACACACCGCTGGAGATATTAAAGGGTGGCGACAGCTTGCCGTAAGCCCTCACACTCTCCGTGCTACGCGTGTATAATGCTCGGATAATACTTACATATTTCTCGGGCACACCTTTCCTGAGTAGACAATTCCAAAGGGCACATCGATCAACCGAATCGAAGGCACCTTTGATGTCGAGGAACACGACTACGGTGGACCGCCAATATATGTAACGGTGCTCCAACAACTGACGCAAGGTGAAGATGTGGTCGATGCAGCCACGACCCCGACGAAACCCGGCTTGCTCCTCACGAATCTGGCTTTCACGAGCGCCAGTCAGTCTGTGAAGAATTATGGAGGCAAGTAATTTGGAGGCGATAGAGATAAGACTGATTCCTCTATGGTTGCCGCATTCCGAGCGCGAGCCGCCTTTGAAGATGGGAACAATAACGGAGCGGCTCCAGTCGGTTGGGACAGTCTCCTGCTCCCACAGTTTCACTAGCAATTCATCTAAAGCACCAACAAGAGCAGAGCCTCCGAATTTGAAGAGGGCTGGAGGAAGATCATCTGGTCCCGCGGCTTTGTTCAACTTCAACAGTCCGATCTCACGTTCAACTTCTGAGCGAGAGGGTGGATCCAAAGGGACAGCCCACGGAGCGGGGCGATCACTGGCCGGCGAAGAATCGAACAATTCTAGCCGATTAAATTGCTTTTCAAAATGCTCAGCCCAACGCTCCAAACGTTTTGACAAATTGTGGATAGGCTGTTCACTCTCATCACAAATTGTTTCACTAACACCAGGTCTCCTGCTGCCCGTTTCTCGTATCAGACGGAATAACTTTCGATCGTTGCCAAGGGCAGCGGCCACTTCCATCTCTGACGCACGATGAGACCACCAAGATTCGCAGTCTCTCTTCAGGCTAGCACGGAGTTTTGCCCGAAGCTCTTTGCGAGTTTCATTGTGCTCGCTTCCAGCCGGGATTTGCCGGCGAGCATCTATCAGTTCCAAAGACCGCGAAGAGACCCAATGTCCATGTGGGCTTTTAGACATACCACATGAGGATTTGCCTGCGGCTAGTAAGGTCTGGCGAACATGTGACCAGTGACTATCAATTGTCTCCAATGAGTGAGTACTTAATTCGCATGTCAGCGTACTTCGATACGCATTCAGAACAGCTGGTTTTGTCAGTTGGCTGGTGTCAATGCGCTCACAGCGTCGTTGTGGGCGTCCGCCAAAACGCATCCGCATGTCAGCACATACAAGTGCATGATCGGTATTCACACATGTGCTCCAAATCGA